TATTACCCTGTTAACAGGTTGACAGATATGTGCAAATTGTGACTCACTGCTCAATTTGGCACTAAATTAATGTCTTTCCGCGCCGCGTCTGCTCAAGTGTAAACTAGTCACCACTGCTGTGTTACTGCTTGTTTGCCTATATTCCAAAGGTAAAAATTAAATGAATTTGATCCTGCCATAGAACGGAATGGAGCATATGGTGGACGTGTAGGAGGAGAGCACGCTGTTCCTACCTGTCCTCAGTCCTGCACTCAAAGTGGGACGTGACATGTTGCTGAGCTCTGCGCAGATGCTGGCGAGCTCACAGGCTCGGGAGGCAGCATCCCTAGAAGTGCTGCCAAGAAGGTGGTACAGCGAAGACCACCTTCCATGCCAACCCCCACCCAAGGCAAAAAAGGAAGTGTCATTCTGTCTCCAGCTTTTTAATTTGATGTTCCTAGCTTTCCTTATTTCTGTCAAGTTGCTAGTGGTGGATTTGCGTTTTAAAGGTTGGGTGTATCTGAAAATGAAATGTTTTGATTTTTGCTTCTAGGATTTAGACATTGTTTTCCTCAGTTAAAAACGCAGCTTTCTCTCTTTCTCTTTTTGGCAAACACATAATGTCACCTGTAAAAAGAAAATTTGCATCTCCTTTATGTTAGACGTGTGAATGAAAAACAGTCTCCTTGAGATTCATTTTTGCTTCATAAAATCTTTGGATTAAGTTTGCTGAGCTTCATCTGAGGTCACTGATCAGGGGAAGAAACCAAACATGCCACCCCAGACTCTACTGTCCTGTATTAACAGATCTCATAAATAAAGGAATCCAGAAGTGGCAGGAAACATTTGTTTTCTGCCCATTTAGAACTCTGCCCCCCACTAAAAGCAAGCAAAGTCAGATTCTTGGCGTAGAATCCTAGAAATCCACACGCTGAACTTGGTTTCTGGAATCTTCACTGAACCTACTCATTCCCCTACTTCCCTAGCCTATTAAAGAAACAGGTTTTCCAAAAAGCATTTTGAAACCTTCAAGGTGAAAGGTACAAGGGAGAGCAAATTATGATGTTATCTTTGTACTGAAGTCCTGCATATTCATTTGCATCCTCTTGTCCATATCTATGATGGTTATTGATTGAGGATTGGTTCCGAAGACATTGCCCGCCCCCTCCTCATTAGCATATACTTAGCAATGACCTCCAATCACACAGGACAGTGGATTTGTGCTTCCTGCTGAGTCTGAAGTAATTGGGTTTCTTTTTTTTTTTTTAAGTAATTGGGTTTCAACATACAGATTTAGAAAAGTATGTAAATACAGAAATGTTTCCAGTGACTTGGTGTAAACTTTTGACATGAAGTTTGTCACGTGTCTTCCACCATTTCAAAAAGCATCAGCAGTGATGCAACATGACTTAGCCTCCTCCTTCGTTCATCTTTTTACCTGTTTGTAGAGTTTATGCTTAGAGCCAAGGTTGTGTCATGAAGCTGTAAATCTGGAAGGGAACAGTGCAAGATGATATGCAGTATCTTGGTCTATTCCTTACCATCCAGGAAAGGTGGTTTCCTCAGCCATTTTAAAAATCAACAAGAATGAGAAGGGGCACCTGGCTGGCTCAGTCAGTTAAGTGTCTGACTCTTGATTTCATCTCAGGTCATGATCTCAGGGTTGTGTGATTGAGCTCCTCATTGGAGTCTACCCTGAGCACGGAGCCTGCTTGTCCCTCTCTGTTCCTCCCCCAGTTTGCACACATGCACATGCACTTTCTCTCTCTCTGCTAAAATAAAATAAATCTTTTAAAAAATCAACAGAATTGTGGAGGGTGGGGCACCTGGCTGGCTCAGTCAGTGCAGTGTGCATCTCTTAGTCTTGGGGTTGTGGGTTCAAGCCTCACATTGGTGTAGAGATTATTTTTTAAAAATCAACAGCGTAGGACCTTGCTTTTAAGAAATACCTTTCATTTTTTCTGAGCTAGTTCACTTTTTAAGGCCTTGCCCTTATCTTATGGTCTTTTCTAGAGGTGGGAGAGAACTGTTTGGTACTAAGTCCCTAAAAGCCCTTCACACACTTGAAAGATGTCCATATCCTGTCAACTCCCTTTCCCAGGAGCAAGTGGCCTTCCGCACCAGCTCTTCTCACACATCTCTACTCCAGTTTGTTGTAACTTACCACTGGGCCTTCTGTGGTTTCCCCTCCCTTCAGCTTCAAGTCTGAAACTGTACAGGACAGTCTCTAAGGAAACTGATAAGTTCATCAGTATGATTACTCCCTAACTTTCATAACTGACACATTGGTGTTCACTTTTTAACAAATGGCATTATGTTGTTTGCTATCTCATGACCCCAGCTTCGAACTAAAATCTTTTTGTGTTGTGAGTGGAGTTAATCTCCCTCTTCCCCCAAGAGAACATAGCTTATATATGTCCCTGATCTAATGGATTTATAATTTAATTCATCATATCCAATGGATACAAAATCCAATGCAAAACCCTTAATAGATAGTTTTGCATCTCAGCTATTGTATTTTACATCCCCAGTGTTGATTGGGTGGTGAGCACAAATGCTGGTACGATTTTATTCTCAAAGGATGTGAGCCAGACCTAGCTCTGTGAGTGCTGTGGGTTGGCATCATCACAGTGAGCCTCCACTGGTGGGGAAAATTCATCCCCCTAAGAGAGAGCATTTCTGCAGAACAGGCCCATGATGTTCCAGTGAGAGTATTTGTAACTTTCCAGCCCTCAATGTGTGCCAGACACCATACTAAGTACTTAATTTCAGTGATTATTAAACCTTAAGAGAGTTAGGTTCCATCTGAGCCAGAAGAAAAGACTCTCAGAGGAATGTCTCCAGGAAAAAAAAGAACTGACACATTGCTGGTATGTATGTCTGACTATAGTGAGAGAGGTCTTACAGTCAGGTAGAGAGTTCAAGGATGAAATTATAGTAGGCACATAGATGACTAACCAAGTGAAAATCAAGGCAAAACAAAAAGCTGTACAAATAAATAAATGTACTCATGAGCCACTGCGTGGCTCAGCTACTGAAAATATATGCAGAGATTTGGGGTGCCTGATTGGCTCAGTCCAGCTCTTGGTTTGGCTTGGTTCATGATCTCAAAACCACAATATTCAAAACAGTATGGTACTGGCACAAAAATAGACACGAAGATCAATGAAAGAGAATAGAAAATTCAGAAACAAACCCACAATTATATGGTCGGTTAATTTCCAACAAAGCAGGAAAGAATATCCAATGAGGAAAAGACTGTCTCTTCAAAAATGGTGATGGGAAAACTGGACAGCAACATGCAAAAGAATGAAACTGGACCATTCTCCTTCTCCATACACAAAAGTAAATTCAAAATGGATTAAAGACCTAAATGTGAGACCTGAAACCATAAAAGTCCTCAAGAAAAGCACAGGCAGTAATTTCTCTGACATCAGCCATGATATCAGCTTTTTTCTAGATAGGTCCCCTAAAGCAAGGGAGGCCAAAGCAAAAATAAGCCACTGGGGCTACATCAAAGTAAAAAGTTTCTGCACAATGAAAGAAACTGTCAGCAAAATTAAAAAGCAACCTATGGAATGGGAGAAGATATTTGCAAATGACATATCCGATAAAAGGTGAGTAACCAAAATAAAGGACTTACAAAACTCAACACCAGAAAAGGAATAATGCAATTTAAAAATGGGCAGAAGACATGAAATGACATTTGTCTAAAGAAGACATACAGATGACCAACAGACATACAAAAAGATGCTCAACATCATTGATCATCAGGGAAATACAAATCAAAACTACAATAAGATATCACCTCACACCTGTCTGAATGAATAACACAAGACAACAGATGTTGGCAAGGATGTGGAGAAAGGGGAACCCTCCTGCACTGTTGGTGGGGATGTAAACTGGTGCAGCCACTCTAGATAATAGTATGGAGCTTCCTCAGAAAGTTAAAAAGTTAAAAATAGAATTACCCTACAATCTAGCAATCTCACTACTAGATATTTACCCAAAGAATACAAAAATACTAATTCAAAGGGACACATGCACCCCAAATGTTTATAGCAGCTTTATTTACAATAGCCAAATTATGGGAGCAGCCCAAGTGTCCATCAATTGATGAATAGATAAAGAATGGATAAAAGAAAAATACACAATGGAATATTATTCAGCTGTAAAAAAAAAATGAAATCTTGCCATTTGCAACTACATGGATGGAGCCAGAGAATACTATGCTAAGTGAAATAAGCCAGAGAAAGACAAATAATATATGATTTCAATTACATGTGGAATTTAAGAAATAAAGCAAATGAACAAAGGTAGGGAAACAAAGTGGGAGGGGAACAAACCAAAAAACAGGCTGTTAACTAACTATAGAGAACACACTGCTGGTCACCAGAGGGGAGGTGAGTGGGGGGATGGGTAAGATAGATGATGGGGATTCAGGAATGCTTTTGTGAGGAGCACTAGATGTTGTACAGAATTGTTGTATCACTATATTGTACACCTGAAGGTGATATTACACTGTATGTAAACTAACTGGAATTTAAATAGAAACTTAGAAAATAAAATGAAAAAGCAAGAACTGGCATTAAAAACGTATGGTGGGGATCCCTGGGTGGCGCAGCGGTTTGGCGCCTGCCTTTGGCCCGGGGCGCGATCCTGGAGACCCAGGATCGAATCCCACATCGGGCTCCCGGTGTATGGAGCCTGCTTCTCCCTCTGCCTATGTCTCTGCCTCTCTCTCTCTGTGTGACTATCATAAATAAATAAAAATTTTTAAAAAAAGTATGGTGTAGAAATATGAAGGTAAATACCAGAAGAAAGCCCAAAAACGAGTTAGTCCTGAAAGTCAAAAGGAGGAATGAGAGAGTAGTATTTTTTATAAAAAGACTTATAAATCCCATTTGTCTTCTAGACTATATTGCACTGAGAAACCACTGTTGAGAAGTCTTTAGTACACTATAGGTTTGTGTTTGACTAAGCTTCCAGTTCATATGTGTGCATTTCTTTTTCCCACTTAGGTATGTAGACGATGTGATCAGCCGCATTGACAGGATGTTTCCTGAAATGTCCATCCACTTATCCAGGCCCAATGGCACATCAGCAATGCTTCTGGTAAGTTCTGCTCGACCTGTCTGTAGGGCCATGCGGAAGAAGCCTAGCCTCAAGATTAAGTCTCCAGCTGTGTGTCGTAGGATCCAGAGAATAGAGACTAAATCCCAACTTGATGGTAAATAGCATCTTTCTCTTCACTGGTATCCTGTAGTTTCAAATTTCTGCATGTTGAAACTTGGCTTTTGAACGAAATTGTGGAGCCCATCTAAGAATGACCCAAAGGAGAACTATACTGTAAGACCATTCTACATGTAAGTCTGTTCGTGATGTTTTGGTGAATCAGTTTTATATTGTCCCCAAGACAATAGAAATGCCCAACTATTAGATCCTGCTAAGGAAAACAACACTATTTTAAAAGAACCAGATTCAGGGTGCCTGGGTGGCTCAGTTGATTGAGCATCTGACTCTCAATTTCAGCTTAGGTCATAATCTAATGGGTCATAAGATCGAGCTACATGTTGGGCTCCACGCTGGGCATGGAGTCTGCTTGAGATTCTGTCTCTCCATCTGCCTCTCCCCCGCTCACTCATACACCTCCTCTCTCTTTGTGAAATAAATTAATTAATAAAATCTAAGAATAAAATAGAACCAGGTTCTACGGAAAATCGCTTCTAAAATCCATTATGTATTTGAAGAAAGTGCTCTGAGACCTTATCACTGATGATTTCCAGTTTGTTGTTTCTGATCTTGAGTTGCTCTGAGCAAGTTGGCTTCACACCCATACCACTGATATTCGCATTTTGCATAAATTCACCAAAGACGGGTGTGATTGGGAAATACAGTGGAATAGAAATGTTAAATTTTATTAGTAATTAGAAAGGCATAGAGACCTCAGGGAAGGGAAGCTTTTCTAATGTTGTATGTGATAATTATTTGAAGAATAATTTGAAGAATGCTTCTCTAAACACAGATTTGGAGGAGCCACCACGTTTTACAGAAAGCAGAATTAATCGAATTTACAGAAAGCCACCACGTTTTACAGAAAGCAGAATTAATCGAAACCATCGAAGCAGATGGTTTTTCAGGGGCATTGGGAGGTGAGCTTCAAGACTGAGTGTTTTTTGTGTCTGGTCAGTTGCTGCTGCTTTGGGGCCTTGTGTGAACTCCTCATACTTTAGCATTTTACTTTTGGAGTCTTATTATAGAGAGCCAGTCACCCAGGATGAGGTACAATTCACTCCAGCCATTCACCTGAGGAGAATGGGTTTACTCTGTGTGTGTGTGTGTGTGTGTGTGTGTGTGTGTGATTTTCTCTTAAGAAAGGAAGAGATGTGGGCTTATTAAATGTGTGTTATCTCTTATATGGGAAAGAAATTAGTGAACTTCATCTGGGTATTGTGCTGCTTTAAATTCTTACAGTTAAAAAACACAGTGTGAGGTAATACAGTGTTCTTTTAATGGAAAAAGAAAACAATTTGTATCTGTCTACAAAACATGTAATATCTTCTGTAATATCTTCTTTTAAATGTACAAATTGTCTAAATTTTAAGATCCTCCAGACCCAGCAGCTAAAACATAAATCCTGCTTTCAGCATACTTGACAGGGACCAGGGAGTTAATGAAGATAAAAATGAGAGCATCCTCAGTGAAATAGGTTTGTTCAAATTATTTCTGGGTCATTGAGCTTCCATTTCATGATGGAGACAGGGATTTGGCATTGAAGAGAATGAGCAAAGTGAAAAGGATCATAGGTAAGCAGGTCTAAGATATCAGAGTTACTTCCACCTGAGAAGGCGGGCTTTTATGTTACAATGACCTGTCAGCCCCATCTGCTTTCCCGTGGAGCTGCTGTTTTAACAGACCTATGAGGGAGTTTAAGGGCTCGATTCAGGGGAAGAGCCTCATTTTAGATGTGCATTTTCCTCCCATGCGTGGCTAATTCAGAATCTTCTATGCCTCTAGCCAGCTAGTTGTTACCTTCCTTAGGTGACAGAGGAATTCACATACGGTGGTGCATGTTGATAGGAACAGCAGTGAGAGACCTGATTCAGAATCAGATTGCTGGGTGGATAATCATACTTTCAACATCACTGCTTGGTTTGACTTTTACTTTCACAAGATGACATTTTATTAGGTTGCCAACCTCTGGCCCATTTGCGGCTGCCACAGACACCTTCTCTGAGGCCAAGGGACTTCTTACCTGGCAGAAGAGCAGGACCAGCAGTTCCTCTTCTGCCCTTGCTTGTCAGCGGCTCCCCATGACCTCAGTGGGAATGTTTGGGACCTGCACCATAGGCAGTTAAGGCAGCCCTGTGGGAGGTTCAGGCAAGAGTTGGAAGTGGTGTTTTCTGGAGATCAGTCTGCAGTGGGTTATATACATCTGGAGTACCGTGTTTTCTGGAAAGCTTTGGGAAGTGAGACTGACCGGGACAGACAGTCAAGGCTGGTGAAGCAGGACACACACGAACAGTCTCTGCTGACATTTCCTTTTACCTGCCTTGGCCAAGGCCCAAACTGCACCTGTGCTTTTTAATAAAATGATATTTCCTCTGGAGACAGCCAGGCTTCCTTGAGCACAATCAACAGAAACCTGCTCTGATTAATATAAGAAAACGTTTGTTTTTGTCTTGGTCTTGAGTTCTAATGATGCCAGATGCTCACAGACCTAAAGGTAGAGCTGATCTGCGAGGAGGAACAAAAATCAGGGTGGCTCCAGGGGCATCCAGAGCAGGACGATGGTCCTTTGGGGGGACACTTTGGCCCAAATGATTCGGCATCCACTGCCTTCTATCCTGTGCCTGTCTCTATGGCCTGGGCGAAACATTCCTACCAGACTTCCCTGGGCTCGTTCCTCCTCTGGGACAGGAGGGGTGTTGTGCCTTGTTAGCCGTGTGCAACTGCATGGAGTGGAGGAGATGATTCCCCAGCAAAAGAGAGGCAGGGCTGGGAAAGCAGGAGTCTGCATGGTAAAGTAGACCTTCACTTGTTTTCCTGTTACAAGTGAGAAAACTTGGGATGGGGGTTCACCTGGCCACACAACCTGGACACAGCTCCTAAGTCTCTGGGGTACTTTCCTCATCCTGTTGGTTACAGCTCTTAGTGATGGCAAGTAAGACCTGGATTACCAGGTCCTGAGCAGCTAATTTCTTCTTAAGGTTTTTTTATGATGTAATTTGATATTTACAAATGAATATGTGTAACGTATGGCAAATATAAAGCATAATGATAATAACCTCATGAGCTCACCTCTCAATTTAAGAAGCAGAGTTATGGTTATACCAATATATGCCTCTCCCCAGTCCCTGCGTCTCCAGCCAGAGTCACCACCATCCTGATAATCCTCCTCTTTTCTTCCTTTTAAATGCATTTTACAAGATAGGCATGCATACCTAAATAATATACAAATTAGTTTTGTTAAATTCTGAAATTCATAAAAATAGGGTCAGATTGTGTGTATTGTTTCTTTTCTCTCTCTCTCTGTCATGTGTGTGTGTGATTTCTGAGGTATATCCATGCTGGTGGTCATATCTGGTAATTGGATCATCTTCATTGTTGTGTAATAGTCCATTCTATGACCATGTACACTTTATTCTTTTTCTGTATGTGTTTGGGTTGTTTCCAGCTGTGCTTTTTAAATAATGGTGGCCTGAGCATTTTTACACATACACCAAAATACAGGTGGATGAATAACCAAGCTCCCGGGCTAGTGCTGTGGAGCAGACCACTTTTTCCTCAGGGCCACTTGACCTGTGAAACACAACAGCATGATGCCCCCACTGGCCTACAGGGGTGTCCAGAAATGGCTCCAGTTAAGTGACCTGTTTTTTGCGATCAACAGTTTCTGCTGATCTGGTTATAGATCTCTTCCAGTTTGGGTCTATGAGTACCAGGGGTGGGGATTTCTTTGTGCACACACATAGTAAAATGATGTAAAGTCATTAAACTCCAGAGCATTCCATGAACAAAGGGCAAGTGTGGTGATAATCCATTTTGGTTTCCTCCCCTCACCAAGCAGTCACTGCCAAGAAACTTTGTAGGTGTGCAAAGATCTGTAATCGGGAGCCACAGTCTATCATCAGGTTTTTCACAGTATAGAATGAGAAAAGGAAAAGGGAGAGGGTAGAATTGGTACTTTTTAAGACGATTGGAGTCAGTTTGGCTCATTGAAAGCAAAACCAACCTTTCTTTGTTGGCTGGAGGCACCAGGGCTTCAGAGCCCATGAGAACCACTAGGAGCAGTCACCTTCTGGCCTGGGCACTGTGTTTGACTTGAAGTACACACAGGTATCCTTTCCACACGTGTGGACCCCCAGAGAGTGCCTGTGTGGGAGGTGGAGCTAGAAGCCAGAAGGGAGGACCCGGAGGTGCTCAGGGAGTGTTTGCTGCATAGAAATACAAATGACAGATGAAAGTATCTTTCTCTTCCATATGTATCAGTTTGCCCATCTTGGCTACAGTGGGGACCTGCTGCTCAGGGGAGAGGCAATCAGCATGGGTACTCGTTTAATTCCAGAACTGTCAGAACAGTTATTGCCTTAACTTCTTCTGGCATCTTTATGCGCCTTAGGTAATTGACTGTATCCTGTAAACACCAAGTCCTAGCTGATGGGAAATATAAACTTTCAGCCTCTTACATAATCTTTAAATACATTGTGGCTGGCTCTCTGCCCTGGTGGGGGGTGGAGGGGGCTGCTTCAGTGTTGTGTAAGTTAATAACTCATGATATAATAAATCCTGTTTCCGTTCTGTAAGGGATGAGCTCAGCCATCCAAAAATAAATCTAGCTATGTTGATATTTAGCTTCAGTTAATCTACCACCTAACATCCCATTATTAATTTGCTTCAAACAGTCAAAATATCGTAAGAGCTTAACTGAATCAGAGACTAGAACAAGCAGCTGGCTTCTTTTGGCCTTTAAAATATTAATCTCTGATTTTTGACTGATCCACTAGGTATAGAAATGTAGAAAAAAAGAAAAAGATGAATCCTCAATCACAGTATTTGAAATATACACAATATTTAATAAACTAATATTTATGTTACATGTTTTACAAGAGATA